GGGTTGCAGGTTCGAATCACTGTCCCACCAAACATGCTCATCCTTTCAGCCGTGTGGGCATTATAAGATGACGGTCAATCCCACTATTCATTAGTAAAAGAGTTGCCCAAGAGTTGGCAGTGGGTAGTGATAACTAGCTGCATTCCCTCTAGTCATACCCTGCTAAATTAGAGACAGCTAGCGCAGATAGCCCTCGTGTAGGTTTGCACGAAATTCAAAAACAAACAATTGTTTTAACCTGTAGAGAGTGGGGCACTATCATCATTTTAAATGATATTGATATGTTTGTGGTTCTTGTACCAGCTTTAATTTTGTTAAAATATCAAAATGAAGTGTTTGTGAGATTGGTCTTGTTGCATATCTCATCTCACATACTTTGGAAGTTAGTTGCCTGTAGACAGTAGCAGTCCTCTCCTTTACCTAAGCTGGGTCATGCCTTATCTGTGTTTTTCAGGTTTTGGAAATATCACTCTTCCACAAACATGTGGTGTTCTTTTTGTAGTTGTTATTGATTTGATTTTGCTCAAAAGTGGATAAAATGCTTCAAAGTATGAGTGGTATAAGAAAGCTAAACATGCTTGTAGGAGGTTTTAGATTGTTTTATATGACTTAGTCTTCATACACACAAGATGCAGACATTATATCCCCTCTGCCAAGTAGAGATGACGCTCAAGTGGGGTTAGGAAAAGCAAGGTCTACACAGGAGTCTTTATTACCTTGGCAGTCAGCGATTCTTGTTGGTTCACTTGTTTTCTAGTTTAACAAGTTAAGGTTGATGGCTATACTGTGAAGAGGAGAATGTAAACCCTTGCCATTAGTGCTTTCACATCTATCAAAGGTTGAATGTCTGGAACTGAAGTCTCCTACTGCTAGATAAAGAAAAGTGTTGTCAGGCAGGAAACTTCAAGCTTCAGTATGATATACTGTATTAGCTTTCGTGTACACATTGATGATTCAGACTTGTTTGAGTTATCTTGATAGTTTATATCTTGCAATGGTTTATTTTTCACTTACAGCTGTCATAATGCAGATGTTGCTGTTTTGTTGAAATGCATTGGCTGTCCCAGGCTATGTGTCAGCATGTTGTATGAAGTTAAAGCCAATGAGAGTGAACTTCTCAAGGTTTGAAAATTTAGTCTCTTAAAAGTGTATGATGTCATAAAGTTTAGAGAGCTTCTCAAGGCAGTATTTGCCTAACCCAATTCCCTTCAAAATTGCAGAAGCTTTTCATAATATGAAACTGGTGGAGCCTACCATCTAGCAGGCTGATGTTTAGGCTTTTGTTTCCCTATTCTTCTCCTGCTGGATGGTCAAGGATTAATTCAATTTAATTTCTTTTGCATTTTACTCTGTTCAGTATGTAGGATGCTTGATTGTATTTCATTTGTTTTTACCTATGTATGATCTTAAACTTTTTATTTAGTTTAATATCAGTTTATTTGATTTCATTTAGCGTGCCAGTATACTAAAATCTTAGTACCTTCTTTGTGTGAATGAAATCTTCAGTATTCTTTTCTTTGTACATGTACTTGAGTCTTTTTCTTTGTTGTACATTTCCATTTTGTTCTCTCAAAATTTCCTGAACTTCTCATGCATTGTAGATACTCGATATTTTTCTTTTGTAAATCATGTGCATATAACTTTTATTAATAAAGCTTAGTTATTTTTTTGTATAGTTTTCTTATTATTTTCTAACCTAAAGAGGCTGTAAATCTTGATTTTTTAAAAGGAATACTGAAAGACATATCTAAGAACTTAAAAAATGGAATACACCAAGGAAAATTTATTCCACAGTTTTATTATCAGAATCATGTTTTAGATCTTACCATTCTTCAGGCAATATAATAAACAATAAGCTGTAGTTGGAATCAAAACAAATTCAACCAAATAACATTGTAAACAGTGAAATGTAGACTGGCGATTATATCAAAACAGTGAAGGCCAGGTGATGTTGGCAAATTCTTCTGATTAGTATGTTAAAAAATAGGGTAAAATTTAAAACAAGATTTGAAGATTATTTGGAGTTTGAAGTGAAAGAAGAAATTATGCAAAGTAACATACATACTGTATCATGATGATTAGGTGAAGTACATATCAAAATATCAAATGTGGAAATTAGTATAATTTTTGTAATTGAAACTGAAATGTCCAAGGATTGAGAAAGTATTAAATGAATATAATGTGGATAAGAAAATCAATATATCTAGTAGTATAAATCAACATGAACATGTTTATTAATACTGTTGTTCACATTTTTGTTGTAAGTTTGCCGTTGGTGGATATTGTCTTTCTTCTACATATTACCTATTTTAACATGGTCCAACTGGTGAGCTGTATCAAGACCTTCAATTGAGTTATCCAGCCTGCATACTTACTATGAATTACATGTTAAAGTTTATGTGTATGAGAAAAACATTTTTTACTCGCAAATAAATGTTATTAGGAAAGTTCCATTCCAGTAAGTTATATAAATAGTAAATAATAGCCCTCTGGTTTTTTTGTCCTGAACTGTCTGACCCTTCATAGTTAAAAGGTTGGATCACCCTAAACTAGATTGTTCACAGAATGCCTGTATAAAAAGCCAAAAATAATAGAAGTGATAAATTTAAAAAAAACTGATTTATGTTCAAACTGTTTAGAAGACTTGGGAATTGTTTTCTAGTCTCATTAGACATTCTTTTTATTCCTAAAAATGTTTTTGTGTTAACTTATATTTGTTTAAAAGCTATGGAAATTTTCTTTTATGATTAGACATTGGGTAAGCCTTATTTGGTGTAGAGTACAGAAAGCAATGGTGAAATATTCAGTGACTCAAATCCTTATTTATTGAATATTATTGTTATGTTTATTGTATTTTACTATAAAGATGATCCATTATGTGTGTGGGTATATTACCATTCATCAGTTGCCTTGCTTTTTTGTATGGTAACAGGAAATCATCTGATGGTATACACGAGCTATTTATTTTAGAAGTTTTTGCTGATAAGGGGAATAAAAATTACACAAGTTTGCCAAAAATTGGTCATAAGTGATGTTTCTGCCTGTATTTCAGATTTCTTTGACCATGTCCATAATGGCTATCTCCCCTTAATTTAACTCCTTTTTTTTGCCCTGGGTCTTTTCCTGTATACATCTGCATTTTCCAAACATAGGATGTCTCATTATTGCAGGTCCCAAATCTTGATTCCATACTTTCCATGTTTTGATGGTATGTACTATTAGAATGGACAGCATCCCCAGAAATTACTAACTTCATATCTATGGTCATGCATGCTCCAAAGTAACTTGTTAAAATTGCTTCCAAGTTTCAGAAAGGTCATGGATGGATTGTAATTTATCTGCACTTCTCTGTCTTCTTCATTCTTAGATTTATAAATCCCTATCATTATTACTAAGCCAATAAACTTTTTTTAGTTCTACATCATCAGTTTCCTTCCAGCTGTATTGATACACAACTTGGTCTTCAGCATTTTTCCATCTGTGAATAACCTTGAGTAGGCTTGATCGTATGAAGAGCATAAATGACAAAGCAATGGAGTCGCACATTCTATTAGCGTAGTGAGATAGACCAGGGGCTTGCTGCAAAATGTTGCAGAGTGGTACTCTTCCTGCTGCTAAGCTTGGAAGCTCAGATATATTTACCTCATATTAGCTTTTAGAGACAAATTGTTTAACTTCTGCAAGACCACTGTTATCCATTTCAATATCTTCACCAGTATCTGACATGCTAGATTGAGAAATATCACTTATTATATTTTCCAGCTCACCATCATTATCAGATGTACTGTCATCTGTTTTATTTCTTTCTTTGTTCTTTGACCCTAAAAATTAATTGTCTTTTCTCATTTGCAGTGCATCTTCTTGACATTGTAGGACGAGTCCTCTTCTTTATTTCTTAAAACTTTTTAAAACCTCTTCAGAGATGACAAGATACAAGTGTACACAACAGTACTTACTGTTAGAATGCTTGAGGAGGAAACTAGCTCCACCTTTTCATAGGTTGAGTAACAGAAAATGATGCAATAAACAACACAATTTGCATAATACTGTATCTTTGAAAAGATGATTTAAGAAGTCCTAAATTTTACATAACAGTTTTGAATAAGTTCGTAAATAGTAGTATATATATAAATAATAAAAATATATAATACTTATAAATAGTACAAGCAGATATAGTGTACAAATATGCACCCGAAACTTATTATGAAGATTTCTTTAATTCTGTAAGCTTTTGGCTCCATTGAACCCATATAGTATATGGTGATATATTTTTTTGTCTTAAAATCTGAGTAGTTCTAGAGTTATAAAATTTAAGTATGATTGCAAGGTTAGTAAAGTTGTAAAAGGTCATTGAATTTCAAGCTTGACAAAGCTGAAATTTGGGTATAATGGGCCCAGGTGATAGTCATAGGGTTAATACAAATTTTAAAGTAAAAATGTAGTATTTACATCATCTTTTAAGTACAGTTTAAAACTGTATTCTATTGTAAATGGCAAATTAAAATATTTTTGAAAAAATATATTTCATCTGCAAACATTTAACATTTTGTGTACATATATGGGTAAAGGATGTTGTTTAATCCCATAAAAAACGTACAGTTTATTTTGAAGGAGATCCACAGTGCAAATTTTCTAGTAGTAAGTTTTTGGTCCTTACATCAATCACTTTACAGGGGCTGTATTATGTGTGTACATTAATATACAACAGGTGGACTAGTAACAGATAACTGCAGTGGTGTTTTGTTTGTGAGGTTTTGTCCACAAAATTATTATCAAATTCCTTGTTTATTTTATTGATCAAGATATGTTTTGTTCATTATTTTATCATTGTTTTTGTAACTATTGAATCATTATTTACTGTGTTATGGTTTAATCTTTAGCAAACTGTTTTAAGATATTGAGAAATAATACTATTCATTTTGTCTGTATAGAACAGTATTATTCACCTACTTTATAGACAGTTTTAAGTTTTCTTATTTATGTAATTATGTGTTTTTAAGGTTTGTCAAGGTGAAAGATATAATGTTCACTCAGTCCGTATCTCGAGATAAGCCACCAGCAGCCCAACCCCATTACTTTTGGGGAACTAAAGTAAGTACTAATTCAAGTTTAAAACAAGTTAAAAGTTAACAGGATTTTCTTATTATTCTTTTACAAGATTTCAAGTGTTACGATGTCATAGTGCCTGAGATACCTGTTATTTAGTTGTCCACTAATTATATAACGCTTAGCTACTACCCACAGTAACTCTAATGATATGGCTTTTGATGTTTTGAAGTACAATTGTATGTAGTATCTTTGTTTATCTTTGAACTCTTCACACAGTTTGTGACAAAATGACATGAAGTTTTTCATGTAGGTTCCTCACACCTTTCCACCCCCACCCCCACACACAACTTGAACAAAGAAAAAATATGAAAAACAAAAGGAAAAAATCAACAGGGGGGTTAGCGGCAAGGAGTTTTGGAGCTATGAAGTATCAGTCCATGGGTATATATGAAAACTGCCATGGACATGTGAGGGGTCATTCAAAATAATTAGCATAATTTTGGTAACGAATAGTTGTAATTTGTAATATTGTAGGTATTACATGACAAAACTACTGTCATTAGAAGTATCTAACTGCTTCCAAATAAGTGACACAGTTATTTGGATACCTGAACAAGTTAGGCCATGAGCATCATTCCCCAACATAAGCTAGTGACCCCATCTGTTAATTCTGGCTTACCAAAGTTGCAGGGTAAAGGTTCTAGGATTAAATCAGATGTTAGCAACTACAGCTGGATACTATCTCAACATGTGTATGCTTAAAAACACTTCTCAAAACCATCATCTAACAGATACCCAGTGTGATCTACTCTGTTCATAACAAGACACAAAACAGCTCACTTGTGATTGTGCCAAGTACATGTCCAATGGACAAGTAATGTGAGAAACATTCTTTTTACAGTTAAGTTGTTGTTAACCCTGCTAGGCTTTTATTTAGAAAAGAATCTGGAACCATACCAATTCCATTTTCGTACAGGAACATGACAAATATGGTGTGAGCAGAAAAGAGCACTGGTGAGTGTAACAACTTATACATCCTTCAGATGCAACATGTGACAAGGACAATATGTTGAGTTGCAGAATGAGCTGAGTTGCTCAAAGAATCATTTATTTCCTAAATATATTAAGAGATTATAAAAGAAAAGTGTTCAATTTACAAAACAAAATATAAATCATAAAATTTTAGTATACAGCTCATATAGGCATAAGACACTTCCTAATATGTTTCAGTGGGGTTTATTCAAATTGTTACATTTACAATTTCAGTTGTAATGATGGTTCAAAGAAATTGCAGTATTTGATGTTCATGTACAAAATGGGGAAACAGAATCATAAAAACATGATTCCTATGCAATGAAGAGGCTTGCCTTAAATGTTAGAAAAATATAAGAACTAACTTAGGTAACAAAGAAAACTGTCTTAACAATAATGTTAAAATCTCCAAACAAAAGACTTTGAGCACTTACTTTTGCCTGATAAAAATACTCAATGATATATATATATATATATATAAGAAATTATTCAATTTCCAATAGTATTTCAAAACAATTACACAGTACATCTAATAACAGTTTTAAAAATGTGATATTACAGCAGTGAATTTTAGTTTATTTAATAAAGATACATTGTTATTTGGTTCTGAATAAGATCTAGGTACTTCCTCAATTTATCAGATGTATTACTGTCTATCTCCTAGAAGTTTGAATTGGCATTATTTATTCAATTTGAGAAAAACAAAGCTTAATTATACTTCGGTATGGAAGCGCATTATGATAATATAATAATAATAAGTTGGTAAACAACAATTTATAAAAATAATGAAGTGATTTATTTTAGGGGAAGCATACTACATGTTTCGACAGAACATTGTCTGTCTTCTTCAGACCCAAAAATATATATACCTTCATCATGCTTATAAATTGTTGTTTGCCAACTTATTAAAGCTTAATTAAGTGAACAAACCAATCCACAGGAGTTATTTCAAATAAATACTTTAATTTTGTACATTAATGCAATAAAATTTCAGTAAGTCGTGACAAGGGTTTTGATCGTATAATGAACAATAATGTATTTTTGGATGCTTAAATTACAAATCAACTTGTGAAGTATTACATAATGAAACAAATATTTTTATTTTCAGGCTCTAAATATGGCTTACAATACTATCTATAACCAGTACAATCGTTTTGTTGGGTCTCCTCACTTTCGTGCTATATGTAAACTTCTTGGTTATCAAGGAATTGCTGTGGTTATGGAGGAATTACTGAAAATTGTGAAAAGTCTGGTAAATTGTGCAAATTAACATTGTTTCTCTATATCTCTTTTAATAACAATCAAATTGTGCTTTACCTAATTGTAGATGATTGTTTTGAATTGGATTTATAAATTATTTTAAAGTAATTTTCAGTTACAACTCATTTCTTGAACCCGATGAATATGGGCTGGGTGGAATCCACCCAGCTTGTAATCACCAAAGTATCCATGAGAGTAATTGTACTATAATTTTTGATAATTTAAGCGAATCTTTACAAAATTTTGCAGATTATTAGTAAACATTACAAGGCTTTCATACACAAAATATCAGGTTTTTAAATTAAGTATTAAGATTTTTTTTATTAAAGATTTGCTTGTGAAATTTTTCTTTCAAGATGTTGACTATCCAACTTGCAAAGTAATTTTGATTTTAAGATTAAAAACTTTTCTTTATCTGAAATGTGTCAAGTTTTATTTGCATAATTTCCATATCCTTCTTGTTTTTTCTGTTTTTTGCTTGCCTCATTCATGTTATATTCTTGATAAAACTTATGTAATGAAGTGACCTATCTAGGTATAGCATTTGCAGTCAGTTTCAGTTGTGAATGTGCCTAATTTTGAAATTTTATAAAGTAGCATATGTTTTTTTGAAACTAAGAATAGTATTCTAAAAACATATAGCACTGCCCACCACTGTGGGGTATGTGTTTCATATGAACAGGGTATGGTATTTTCAGGTTAAACCTTTCCATGTGTCTTATAAATTGTACCCTTTTAAACACTTTTCTGTCCAAGTCACTGTGTTACATTCAAAATTTAATTAAACACCTTTACTATCAATGCATGTGAACGAAATTAACATTATAATGTATGTTGTGATTTGAAGTTTTATGTTATCTAAGTTTTAAATCCTTTATTTCAAAAGAAACCTTTAAAAATACTTTAGATGTATTAATGTATTAATTTGGCACTCTGTATTTTCAATAATAGAATGCCAGTTGTGTAGATGTATGTCTAAATTATAATATGCTTAAACTATTGGCATGTACATTTCAAAGATCTCTGGATGAATGCAGTTGAAAAAAGTAATAAATTTTGTAAACCCCTACCAGGTGACATGCCCACCTTGAACAGATTTGTTTGAACTTTATAGCCTACATGTAGAGGTTACATATGCATGTTTATAGTCAATAGAAAGAGCTCATTTTACACTATAATCTAACAGTAATTTTTTTGAATTGGTGCACAGTTGTCATCAGGGAGTAAATGTAACTAACTGTAGTAATGTTAGCTGCTTGATCAACTACAGCACTTATGGTTGTTTCTTACTTCAATATGTTATAGTTAGAGATACAGTTACATTTTTTTTTAGATCTTACTCTAATATTTTAGTTAATTATGTATTATTTATGTTTTAAAATGTGTAATTGAAAGGTTTAAACATTTTTTAAATATACATCATACTTTGCATCAGCTGTCAAGACTTACGATATTACCAGTGCATAAAAAGTTTGCACATCTCTGCTAGACACTGTAATGTGCCATGAGGGCACCATTGAATTACGTTGAGACGAAGAATAAACTATAAGAGACAAGAAAGGAAAATAAAACCTTAAGAATTAAATATATGTGAAAAGGAAAAGACTTGAAATTATGAATATAACTAAAAGATATCTTTAAAGATATCCTACATAAAATTAAAAGGTATGTGTTTTATTTTCTATTTCCTGATTTCAATTAGTTTGTTGCATTGTATGTTGATAATAATAGCTAGCGTGAGTGATATAGTACAGAAAATGAAAAATAAAACAAACATTTACCTTGAAAAACTTTGATATTTATTTAGGAGGTTCTAGAGGTTATATTCATAATTTC